TTTTCCCCTTTTTCTTCGTGATACTGAAATAGAAATATGAAGTTTCACCTCATTATCAGGGGGTGTTTGTTAATGTACTAGTAGATGACATGAAATAAACACGTCACAATTTTACAGCATGCATATATTTATTTATGAAAAACATGCTTCTTTAAGATAGACAGTTCAGCTGAGTGAGCACTCTAAATTCTTTGTCAGATTGTCTCGTTTGCCTCCTCTGTCTTCTGCTGCTGTCTGTCTGCCTGACCATGCAAAAAAAGCATCTACAGATGTACACAATCTATCAAACGTAAAAAAAATTACAAAGCATTTCTTTATTAATAATACAATAATAATTTTTCACAAACTTGAGACCCTACTATGGTATTCATTCTCTGAACCTAAACAATTACTTGTGATTAAAAAAAGTAATTATTCATATATTTGAGTAACCTGTATGCTCTTCACATGTTTTTGTTTGCTGTGACAGATGAAATGAAGACAGAATCAGTGAAGGAGGGAAAATCTATCACTCTACATACGGGTGTTGTTGAAATACGGGGATATGATCTGATATTATGGAAGTTTGAAGACTATATCATGGCTAGGATCAATAGAACAGCCAATCGGTTCTCATTATATGACAGTGCTCATGGGAAATTCAAAGACAGACTGGAGCTGCATCAGACTGGATCTCTTACCATCACGGACACCAGAACCACAGACTCTGGAGTTTATCATCTAAACATGAGCAGCAGCACACATACCGTTCAAAGGACATTCAGTATTACTGTCAGAGGTGAGCTAAAATCTTTCAGTATAATATTTAGATCTATGGTCAGTCAACAATGAAGATAGGAAATAAACACTATGCATCTAATTGATGTCAGCACATTAGACATTCTCAAAGAAGTATGCAGATCTTCACTCAGGTTATATGATCCTGATGTTTCTAGTGTTAGATCAGACAAACAGTCACACTAATGACTGTCTCTTTTTATCATTACAGGTACAGATCTTCACTCAGGTAATGTAGTGCTGATGTTTATAGTGTTTGTTCAGACACACATTCACACTAATGACTGTCTCTCTTTATCATTATGGATTCCCATCTCTCTTCAGGTGCTGCATCAGGGATATGTGGTGCTGGTGTTGGTCTGGTGGTTTGGGTTGTAACTGCTTTTTTGCTGCAAGATTTGTAGACAACCAAGGCAAAAGGCGTAAGTATTACACACAAATGATACAAACAATAATTTTTTTTAATCCTTAAAAGGAAGTGAAAAAGGTTTTGGTTTGATCTCACCAGCATTTCATAGACTGATTCTCAATTATATGAAATTAATATATTAGCTAAAGGTACTTTTATCTATTCAAGGATTTACTCTGCCACAGTAATGTCACGCCTTTGAGTTATCACTTTAAAAGTGATAGTTATATCTAGATATTTTCACAGTGCCACACTAACTTTTAAGGGTGTAGTAAATATGCAGAGAAATGCATGTGCTTTCAATATATAAAACTATATGAATGCACTGACATACTGTCACAGGTTGATGAGGCAGATGGAGCGATACCAAGGGTGATGACAAAAGTCTTTTAAGTAAATCCAGATACAAAATAGAATAAGCACGAGAACCAAATTAACAGACGAGAACGGACAAAGGCTAATGCAGAGTTCACACTGCACGATTTTAGCCCGATTTTTCACTCGCCGACCGGTTTTGCGAAATCACTGACAAATGCCTGAAATCGGAAACAAATCGGTGCTCGTTCACGTGAGTGACAATCATGCAGTGTGAATTATCAAAGACGCGATCTGAGGGAATCACCGACACGTCGCCGACGCCTGCGAAATATTTGGCATGCTAACTATCTGGAGCTGTCGGCGATTCACAATCACGCGGTGTGCAATGATTTCTGACTGAAAACTACATCGGCGATGACCTACAGCCAATGAGAGACCAAGATACAGGGCAGAGGGAAGTTCGGGGAGGAGTTCTAGACCAGAATATCAGTATTTAAATAGATATATGAACAATTATATCATACAGAAACGAGCACAAACATTTGCTTGATTTAATGAACAATTATATCATACAGAAACACGCACAACCTTTTCCTCCCCCAGCCACAACATCAGCATAACAGTTACTGCAAAATTATTTACCTCCAACTCTCTTTGCAGAACACACAATCCCTGTTCCCTGCATAATCTTTCTTTTTCTCCTTGTAGCTGGAAATCAGCTCACAGACTATTTGCGGGCTATATACAGTATATATATATATATATTTTTTTATAATTACAGTCTTGCTCGAGACCTCCGGTCTGACACACGCGGGTTCTCACGTTATTTCCTTATCACTTCTCGCGTGTGTTTTGTTGTGAAACATAGTTTGCGGACCAGACAGAGCTGTCGGCGATTCTTCCTATTGTGAAGTCATGCAGTGTGAAACCCCCTGTCGCCGATCCATCGTGCAGTGTGAACACAGCAGCAACTGAATGCTACCCCAGATAGTCACGCAGTGTGAAAACAACGGCGATCCGACGAGTTTGAAAATCGTGCAGTGTGAACTCGGCATAAGGGAGAACTGAGGGTTTAATTAGTGGAGCAAACTAAGGAGCTGACGTGTAAATTAATCATACACAGGTGAACAGAATGGTAATGAATGAAACTAAATGAGAATAGGAACTGAACCAAATAAGGGCAGACAGGAACTAAACAGAAACAAACACGTGACAGATATCACCCCCCTCCCGGAAGGGGGCGGGCGCCCTGGGGACTGGTGCAGGACAGGAACAGGGTGGAGACAAGGAGAGCCTCCAGGACGGAGCAGGCAGTTCAGGTTGCCACAGCGGATCAGAGGACTCAGGAGGCCGTGGTGGATACTCCGTGGCCTTAGCCGGCTCGGCCACGGGCCTATGGCCCCCTACCCCAAAATTTTCTTGGGGAAAACTAAAAATCCTAGGGGGCGCTCTGTAGGAGTGGGCTCTGGAGGGCGCTTTCGAGGAGCGGGCTCTGGAGGAGTGGAATTCGCCAACACAGAGGACTCAGGGGACAAAGGAGGGCTGGACGGGACCAGCGGAGACGAAGGAGTCTCAGGAGATAAAGGAGAGTTTTCAGGAGCGAACTCTGGAGAGAGGATAGGGGCAGAGAACTCAGGAAGTAGTGCCATGTCCAAAAGCACTACTGAGGGAGGAGTGTCGCAGGACTCGGGGAAGACCTGGAGGAAAGGAGGGAGCGGGCTCATTGGAGCGGTATGTGGAGGGAGCTGGCTTGTGGTGAGCTGGAGTGCCCACATGCTTCCAGATGGGAGGAGGATGAGGATCCTCCACATCTACAAGGAACTTGGAACCATTTATCTCTAAAACAATTTAGAAAATCTGCTACGGGTCTGCGGCAATCGTCAGGAGTCAAGAAACTAAATAAATGATCATATTTTAGTCCCATCTGGAAGCACACATCCAACTCACCAGATGTATCAGGCTCAGAAACTCCTCCACATACTGCTCCAAAGGCATTCTCTCCTGCTGGAATTCCAGGAGAAAATCCTCAGCCCAGTTCATCTTCTTCAGGTCCGTTCTTCTGTCACAGGTTGATGAGGCAGATGGAGCGATACCAAGGGTGATGACAGAAAAGTCTTTTAATTAAGTAAATCCAGATACAAAATAGAATAAGCACGAGAACCAACTTAACATAGACGAGAACAGACAAAGGCTAAGGTTTACTAAACTAAGGTTTAAGTACTGGCACAAACTAAGGAGCTGACAAGTAAATTAATCATACACAGGTGAACAGAATGGTAATCAGGAAACTAATGAATGATGATAAACTAAATGAGAACAGGAACTGAACCAAATAAGGGCAGACAGGAACTAAACAGAAACAAGCACGTGACTCATACAGTATCTGCTTAAATATATCAACAACAGCTACTGTTTTTTTTTTTTTTAAATCTAAGTTCATACGAGTGCTGGAAATCCTTGAAATGCATGAATTTTAATTTTATATAAAATATATTTTTAAATTTTAAAAAATTCAAAAATATCTATTTTATAAAAAATATATATTTATATTAACCAGGTTATATAGGATGCCAAGTCTATACAGACAAGGTGATACATTTGAACCAGAAACTTGTTTTCCTTTAATTTGTCACCCTTCTGTAGAATGACATCACAAAACATAATATGGTTTTTCTTAGCACAATATAATCTTATTTAATGCGATGAAGAAGTATGTTTATCTTCATAAATAGTGATTTACCACAGCTGGAAGGGGCTGGAAAAGCTTGAAAATGCCATTAAATCTATTGCCACTAAAAAACAAATCAACTTGTTTTCCACAGTGTCTAAATGTAAAATGAGGATATAGGCTAATTAAACTAAATTAAACTAAAATTATTAAAAATCGCCTAAATTAAAATGAAACACAAAGATATGAATATTATGTTGATTGTCTATTGTGCTTATTTTGCAATAAGTTTCCTTAATCTTTGTTTTTGTTTGGCAGCAGAATCTGCTGTTTTCTGTGTTTTCTTACAGATGTCAAAGCAGATGAGGGGACACAAGATTCTTTGAATAAGTTTCCCAACTACTGAAACAGAATTGAAATCAACCATCTGTGCTGCTGAGCTGAGTAATTGTATCTTAATGATAATGTTTTCAATCTGTGTTTAATGTAAGTTTGGCACCTTGAATGTAAATGTAAAAAAATCTTAAATGTGAGATGTAGTGAGATGTATGTAACTGGGTGTTTTCAAACTCATCTTTAAAGAAAACCCAAACATGAAATAAATGAAAAAGATCATTTTGAGTATGTGTGGAGAATCTCCACAGAACAAATGGCTCATATCCTGCATCAATAGCATGGCAACAATACCTTTGTATGGTACCCTGTAAAGACCAAAATTATTACGCATAACAAAATGTGAAAATCATAAAAACAGTGTTCAGACCATCTGCTGACATGGTCAGTTTATTTGCTTTAGAGTGGCTCAGACTGCTTAAAAGTTTGTTTGGAGCATTCACAAATAATGTCAAAATTCAGACTCTTGAAATGAGCTAGATGTGAAAACAACCTGATACATACAGTATATTGCTGTACTATATAGCTGTACTGACTGATAAATAAAACTGCCATCTAGTGGAGTGCTGTTGTCTAATGGTTTGATTCTATTCATTTAGAAAAATGTAAAAATGCTTTCACAATTTTTTTTTTTATATGCATGTACTTGAATAAGTGAAATAAAAATACATTCAATTTCTTCAGTTTTATAATTTATTTATAAAATACATGTCATATTTATGTTAAGGTCAATCCACTAACAACTGGTTATTTAATATATATACAAGCAGGGCCTATTGTCCCTAGTTTTTACTGAACTGTACATTTAATAGTGTTTTACTGTAAAGTTACATAAAATGTACAATTAACTGTTTTTACCATAGCATTTTACAGTCTTTTACAGTTACAATCACAACAGTTTTTTACAGTGTAGGAGCGGTTTATTACGCACTTCACTCACATTTGTTAACTGTAACACAGGCCTATCCTTACAGCCTTGTAACTCAGTCATATATAGCCAACAGAAGGGGTTGAGCGTCATAAGGGCTTATTCTTAGAAAAGTAGACAGGAACTGAAATCAGAATATTTGGCCAATTCTTTCTCTAATGATTTCTTTTATTATAAGCTTTCAATTTTAAGACAAAATAACAGAAAGTTTATTCTTCCTTAACAATATCTGATTCAGCAACATTCAATGCCAATTTCTGTGATCTTCTCTTCTGCTCAGTTTTTCTGGATCTGATGTCATAAACGAGAACAACAACAGCAGCCGCTGCAGCCACGCCCATCAGAGCTGTGACGACCAATCGGATCACAGCTTCAGTCCTCCCATAAGAGTGGTAATAGTCTGAGAAATCAAGCACACCAAAAAAAATTTATAAATAAAAACCCCGTAAACTCAATAAAATGTTACTCAAAAAAAATCTGCAAAAACACCACTGATGTACCTGAACTCGGCCAGCAGAGTTGACTGATGTCCAGATGTTTGGTTTGGTTGCTGACAGGATTGTTCACTACACAGCTGTAGGTGTTTTTCTCCTGATATTCCACCTCCAGAGGTAGAGAGAGACTGATGCTGAGATCAGACACACTGATGCTGGACAATAAACTGTTTCCTTTGTACCAGGAGAGAGTCGCATGACTCACATTCACCACTGAACACAACAGCAAACAGTTTGAGATGGATGATCTTTCTGAAGAAGAGCACTGTGAAGTGTCACTGAAGATGACAGGAATAGGTGGAAGAGCTGGAAAAAATAAAATGGGATACTTATAGTACTTTGTCAGTCATTAAATGTGCCATATGATAGTTTGTTGTGATGTCGGTAAGTGAATTTGTGATATCAGACAGTGTATTGTGATGCCTGTCAGTCATATCATCACACAGAGATCTTACTGTCTTCTCTCTCAACATTTATAATAGATTCAAATTTAACATAGAAGTCATCTTGAGATATCATTATGGGTAAATATTACTTGTAGCCTATTAACATGTATGTGGAAGTGAAATATTGTCCACTCAGAAACCACATTCATTTGGGTTATTCTGCCACTGAACTGACCTGAATTAAACTCAGACCACAGTAAGTTTCACTTTGACTCAGAAACAGAGTTGCTGGAGACACAAATGCATTCAGTGGAAACAATTGTTTTATCTTGCAAGTCATCCTAAATGTATATTTGTCCTCTGATCTAAATGTAGGCTAATGTTTTCATTTTATCTCTGTTCTTGTGTTTTGTTTTTCAGCATCTTCTGTTCATGGGGTTACATACCCTGTCTATAGGGAACATCCTTCACAACCTCACAAAAGAAGCTGAATGGAGTACACTGAAGAACAGACTTACAGACTTGACTCAAGTTTACACATTAATTCTGTCTGTGTTGTTTTTTCACTTCTTATTTCATACTGACTGAACTTAATTTTTTTGTCACTTTGAGTTCCAATGACCACATTCTGTATAGCTGTTTGATATTATCTGTCTCACTCTCAAGTCTCAACAGATACAAACTGACCCTAAATGTTCTTATGTTTGAATTGTGTATGTGTGTAACAGATTTTTACCAATGGGGTCAATATAGGTGATGCACTGTGTTGTGACACATTCCTCTTTTGCCACAGTAGATCTTTTGTTGCATCAATGAGCCTTGGGGGGCCAACACCCTGTCACCAGTTTGTGGTTTGTCCCTCCTTGGACCTCTCTTGGTAAATTCACCACTGCTGACCGGGAGCAACCCACAAACCTTGCCGTTTCAGAGATACTCTGACCCACTCTGGCTTTCTGACCAGCATCTCTTCATAACAGGTATATGGAGTGTTTCAACAACATTAATAACATACATGTTAAAACAGCAAAACCGAAAATATGACATAACTGAAAATAATCTCAGAATAATTATTTTTAAGTAATTTGAAACATTTCCTTCACAAAAAAGTACCGTACAGTATTACAGTGATGGAATCAGATGGTAATGCCATGATACTTTGTTAGCACCTTTGTACTTACATGGTGCTACAATTATACCATGGTACAAAAACATAGCAGTACAATGGTACTTTTCTGTATGTGATGTGTTATTTTCTGTAATATTCATTATTATTATTCATTGGTGCCACTGGCCGGTTAAATTGAGATCAGTAAAACACATTAGACTGAATTCACCTGTTGTCAGCAGGGTAGCAAATATATTTTATATATATGTTTTTTATAAATATGTTTGATAAAACATACACTAGCGTTTAATGTACTTGCTTATAGGGTGAATATATACAAAAATGTTTTTAAGCTTGTCAAAAGAGCATAATCGCCCCCTGGTGTGATGATGTGAGAATGTCTGATTCATCAGTGAAGGACTGGGCTGCGTTCAGCCCCAACAAAACGGTGCAAAACATTTTTTTAACAGAAACAGTAGTGTGTTGAACACTCTGTTCTGATGACGCAAGAGTTGCAACTATGGCAGCTGAGAAACCCATTCTTTGTGTTCTTTTTGAAGAATTTGTGGAGCCTGATGAAATCGGTATAAATATGTGTTTAATACTGCAAAATACGCTCGATGTTACAGTCACTGCCCTTGCCCTCCAGAATAAAAGAGAACATCTCAATCAAGTGAAGGGATTTGTGGAAACTGTGGTTCCTAATTATTGTGATCCAACATTTGCCTCGCATTTCAGGATGAAAAGACAAACATTTCAGGTGAAGAATAATCCACTTCTTACCTCCAAGACGTGATATGATCTATATGGACTTATTGTTTTTATTGTGAGTATTAGGCTTATCATTATTGCTGATCACTGTTGTGCTATGCTATTGTAATATTTACCATTATATAATCAGAGGAGTATAGAAAAGTTTATGAAAGTGTCACTCCACAATACAAGAGCAAAACATATAAATATGTATAGTATTTTTATGTTACATTAATCAGTGTCTAGCACACCTTCCTAAGGAAAGGATATGGATCTGAAGAAATTGCAATTACTAAATGATATTTAGACAGACTTAAAGAAGTTCCAGATCTATACTTGTGCTCTTATTATTTCAGTTATTTTGATTTTAATGTAAATAAACATGTGCAAACAATATACTTACTCTTGTGTATTTATTTTGATGTTAATTACATTGTGTGAGC